ACGGGGGCTGCAGCGCTGACACGGGCTGCGGTGGTGACACGGCTGCTGGGGGGTGACGCGGGCTGCAGGGTGACATGGCTGCGGGGGTGACACGGGCTGCAGGCCCGGCTGTGCGCGCCCGGCCCTTGTACATCGGTTCTGTCAGGGAAAGTGGCGCGGGCGTGTTGGCTCTGGGGGGTTTTGTCCCCAAAAAGAAGCCAGGGCTGCGCCACAGAGCGTCCAGCCGAGCGCGCTCCGCAGCCACAGGGAGGCACCGGGGTTTGTGTGCGGGTGGAGGGAGCCTGCTGCTCCTGGGGTGGCCCTGGTAGCTCAGCCCCAGCCAGGTTTGCTTGGGTTCTGGTTGGGTGGGCCAGTCTCGGACAGTCGGTGCCTGTGCAGGACAGTCGGCTGTGAGCAGTGTGAGGCCACCTGAGATGATGCCTCCTCGCTGCCTGGGGGCCTTTGGGAAGCCCAAGTGAGTTGCTGCCAATATAGCAGCCTCCTCGAAGACCCTCTCACTGTCGGGGTCCCTTTTTGTGGGTGGGATATTGATCAGATGAGGCAGTGGAGTGCCCCAGCTAGTGCCCCAGCCCAGTTGTCTGTGGGAGGGAGGTAAACTTCCATGTGGAGGTGATAGCCTTTGCTAGTGACAGAAGTAGGATCTGTTGTTGCAGTGGCACAGCAACCAGGTTTGTATTTTGACATGAAGCAGCCTTAAGATAGGCTGGTGTCTTCTTCTGAAACTGGTACCCTTTGTTTTCTCTGGCCTGGAACAGATGTTGACAAACCTGTCCAGGATATAGCACAGCTGGAAGTACAAGCATACAGGGAAGAGTAGGTTGGCCTGTCAGCATCCACAGGGCATCTGTTACTGAAAGCAGTGACACAAGCAACTCTCATCTCTCATCTCTCTTTCACTCTGTGTAAAATGAGTAAGGAGTTTTGTTTCAGGGGAATAGGGCTGGAAGTTTGCATCTGCTCAAGCATCTGGCTTAGCATTCAAAAAGAAAAAAGACCCCAAGATGTCAGTCTGGTAAAGCTGAATTGATCTGGGTGTGGTTTATTCTTTCTTAGAGCCATAGAAAGGATATGGACAAATGTCTTGACCCTTTCAGAAGACAAAAGTTGTGTGTTCCTTTGTCTCCTTCCATGTCTCTTCCTAGTGTTTGTGTTCCTGTGTAAAGTTGTCTTCCTTTTTTAAAGTGCTTCAACACCATGATAGAGAAGACTGGCTATGGTATAATATGTTAGTTAATATATGCCAAATTTACATTAGTTTTGTGGTTTGTTGTGGTTTTTTTTAGTTGGTTCTTGGTTTCTAAAGTTACTTCCTTCTTTTTCATGTAACTGTTGTTAGGCCAGGTACTTTTTTTGAAACCCAGGGATGCATTACCACCTAAATCTTGCAGTACCTTTGTATCACAGTGACTGCCTTATTGCAAATCCCTTCTCCTTCTCAACTAACACCGTTACACCTTCAGCATTCCTTTTTATTTCTGCAGGCTCCTGATGGCCATATTTTTCTGGAAGCTTTCTCTCCAGTGTACAAGTATGCTCAGGATTTCCTGATTGCCATTGCTGAGCCTGTGTGCAGACCCACCCACATCCACGAGTACAAGCTGACGGCCTACTCGCTGTACGCCGCTGTCAGCGTGGGGCTGCAGACCAGCGACATCACCGAGTACTTACAAAAGCTCAGCAAGACTGGTGTCCCGGAGGGAATAATTCAATTTATCAAGGTAAGGCTTTTATTTGTGTGGGAAATATATCTACTGCTACTGGTGAAAGCCTTTCCTCTGCTTAGTTGGGTTAGGGTTTTTTTGAACTGTTCATTGTTTTTATCGTCTTGCTGTGTTCTGTCTCTGTGTCCAGAGAACAGAGACTTTCTGTTTCGGGGTTTTTTTCCTGCACACAATATATCCTGTGTGGCTTACACCTTTTTTTAAAAAAGTAATAAAAAAATAGGTATGCTGGAGTGTCTCTGTGCACACTTTTAGCCAGTAGGAAAGTTTCCTTGGATTTGCTCTGTAAGAATACTATGAATTTGGGAAGCAGTCTGGAGTAGCTGGGTGCTATAAAACATAGCCTACCTTATCCTGCAAGAGTGTTCTTGCAGCCGTGGAAGAAGATGGGAACTGGACACAAAAATTGAATGTCTGTGACTCATCTCCTGCAGGAGATGATGTGTGCATCTTCTGAAAATACCTTTTCAGGTTTGTTCCAGAAGTGTGACAGCATTGCAGGTGACAATTCCATGCTTCCCTACAGAAACTTAAACTGCATCGCAGCCTTTGGTCCCAGATGTCAGATGGCTCTTTTGCATGTTCCTAATGACTGCTCTTGTTCTTTTGTAGCTGTGTACTGTCAGCTATGGGAAGGTGAAGCTGGTACTGAAACATAACAGGTAAGTGGCTGCTTCTTTAACTAGTGTGGAAGAGAGAGGCTTCCAAATGCACAGCTGTGCATAACGGAATGGTCTCCGTAGCTGTTGTCTTACAGATCCCAGCCGACTGTAGCATCTGTCATTGCAAGATCCCTTTTTAGTTGTTTGAAGTGTTTAATACATTAGTCAATTAGTTCAGTTTAGCTGTCCTGAGCTACTCGTGGTTATCATTACATTTTTAAAAGTAGGTTGCAAATTTGATGCTCTAGCTTGTTCCTTTATTGCTTGGACTGGCAACAGTCCTTGTGGCTTTTAAATAATTGTTTTATTCATTCCTTCCGAATTTACATGAGTCCAATTGGACAGGTTTTCTAAAGCCTTCCTTCAGTCTTTTGTATGCTTATTTGTAATCCATTATTCAGAAAGGATAAAAAAATCCACTGACAAAAGTTGTGTGCTTGTGTGAGATCTGCTTGATCCTGAGTTGACTCTAATGTGTTTTAAACATAAGAGATAAGGTTGGAATGGACCTTGAGAGGTCACCAGTTTTATCCAAATCTATGATTGGGTAGCAGGGAGGGGTAAGGGAAGGAGACAGCAGAAACCTGAAGCCTGTCTGCACCTTGCCTTTGTTTTCTTTGTCTCCTTTTTATTTCTTTTGCAAAGTTCTCTGTTGTCAGACAGCCACAGATAAACCTGGGACTGCCATCTAATGCTCCTTTTGTGCTGCTGCTTTGGATAAAATTAACACTAATATTCTTCACAGGCTTTTGTCCTCTTCCTAGGTGTCTCTGAGAAAAAATATCTCCTATGGCAGGGGAAAATTAGTCTTCTCTTGACTCCCATTTTATCTGTGACCTCCAACCAGTGTCAATATTGATGCATCTGCAGGGAGAGAAACCATTTCAGGATGCACTGATTTTAATTTTTAGATGGTCTGTGTTTTGCAGTTCCTGGGGTTTTGTCTTTTGGGCTTTTTTGGTCCTATGGGCAGGGCTGAAAAGCACCACATGGAGTGTTTTCACAGACTCAATTCAGCCTCCAAAACACCTGACTTGTGTCACATGTCACATATAAGACACATATGTGAGAGCTCTCCCCAGCCAGTTCTAGTGGAGTTTTCCCACTCATGTAATTTGTGAGAGAGATCATTTAAGTGAGACAGGTAACCGCAAAGTACATGCTGCTTTTGATATGAGACATCTTTTAGAGTTACCACCCCCAAAATGGGATACTTGAGAATGCATCTGGGATAGCTATAGATTTTAAGCATCCACGCCTCTCTTCTTGTAAGTTATGCAGTGGATTAGTTCATAAAAATGTTGTTCTTTGTTCTTTAATTTTAGGTATTTTGTGGAAAGTACTCACCCTGATGTCATTCAGCAGCTTCTGCAGGACCATGTTATTAAAGACTGTCGCTTGAGAAATGCTGAGGGTGAAGAAACGGAGCTCATTACAGAGACCTTCACAAGTAAATCTGCGGTATGTTTGGGCATGTTTTCAAAGGATGGAATTAACATTAGATTAACTGTTGTTTGGAGTGGTTATGGCTTGTTGTGTAAGGAGTTGCTTTTGGTTTTGTCAGCAAAGATCTCTGCCTTTTTAATGATGCCAAACTGGGGAAGTGTGTCTCTAATGAAACCCTTGGTGAAAATTCCTGTCCATCTATTTCAGATTTCCAAATCCAATGAAGGAGGCTTTGGTCCATCAACGTCGCAGGGAACAGATGCCCAGAATAAGCCAGATGTCCCAGCTGACTTATTTGAGTTTTATGAACAGATGGATAAAGATGAGGAGGAAGAGGAGGAAACGCAGACAGTATCTTTTGAAGTCAAACAGGTACAAGTGTTTTAGTCTCTGCATTTGTAGCTTTGAGCGGTGTTCCCAGGACTTGCAAATAAACATGAGAGCTTAAAGTTCTGTGGCTCTGTGTTTGATAGGGAAGGTCATTGGAAATCAGTAACATTTCTTTCCTGTTACCTTCCAAAATCTGAGGATTTTCCTTTTCAGTAGAAAGGGTGTCAGACTGGGTATTGTTCCTTCTCTTTCTGCAAGACACAATTCTTTTTTTGTTTATCTGTTTGGAGTTTTTTTCTGGTTTTGTTTTGAGATTCATGTTTGCAGAAGGAGCTCTTGGTTGTTCCAATTTCAAAGCTTGAAAATAGGTAGCTGGAGGTTGGAGCACAGTCTTTGCTCAACCTTCAGAGAGCTTTTGTAAAATTTCTCAAAGTTCTTTTTCGACTCGGTGATTATAGTGATGCCTTCCTGGGCAAAATAAATATTTTAAAAAGAGAACTTAGTAGAATTTACTTTAAAAACCTGAACAAAACCTCTTGGTTATTGAATCAACCTGTTGTTGTGATGCAGTAACTGCATTACCAGGGTATGAAGATTTTCCAGGATAACAAATGTGCAGCTTTGCTAGGTCCTTCTGTGTAACACATGGAATCTTTTATGTCTCTTACTGAGCTCTTTGTTGCAGGACATTACAGTGTAGTTTAGTCACTGCCAGAAAGGCAACACATCTGAGATTAATGCCTCGTGTTCTTCCATCTGTCTAAATAGCCCTCTCATGTGGACTGTTATTTAAAATGTTTGAGGTGGGTAGAGGGTGTCACAAATAAAGTTTTTGGAAAAAAACTTTAACTTTTGCTGGCTTCATAAGCATAAAAGATCTATGTAACTTCACATGGTACTATATAATCTGGTTGTCTGGGGGGGTGGGGAAAGGAAGAATTTGTGTAGATGCAGAGAATATACCATCTGTGCCTTTGCTTTCTCTTCAGGAGATGATTGAAGAACTTCAGAAACGTTGCATCCACTTGGAATACCCCTTGCTGGCAGAATATGATTTCAGAAATGATTCTGTGAATCCTGATATTAACATAGATCTGAAACCTACAGCTGTTCTCAGGCCCTATCAAGAGAAAAGCCTAAGGAAAATGTTTGGAAATGGGCGAGCCAGATCTGGTGTAATTGTCTTGCCATGTGGTAGGTTTCTGTGTTGATGTTTAGGGGTTTTGTTCTTTATTCTCCTGTAGTAAAGTAACTTTTAAACATGACAGATGTCTAGATTTCAAACAGTAGTAAGGATTGTTTGGGGTACCCGTGTGCAGAGCCCTGTTGGTTTGAACAAGTGAGTGGTGAGGCTCTGGTGAGGGAGACCCTGCTTGGTAGAGCTGTCAGGCATCTTGCTCAAGGGTGCTGTCCATAACCCTGTAGTGACTGAAGAACTGGTTTGTGGTTGTGGTAGCTTCCAGTTACCGTTTATGCTTTGACTGTTCCCTTTAAGTCAGCTCTGCTAATCTTCTAGTGAAATATAAAACTCTTGGCATTGGAATCATTTGTTGCTTGGGTGGCACTATTGGGAACTTAGAGTACAAATATGGCTTAGAGGAGGCTGCAAGGTAGAAAAGAGCTTGCACACACAAGTTCTGGGCAAGGGAGCTTGAGAAAGAAGTGAAGAATGTGCAGATTGGGACAACCTATAGGAAGCAATGAAAAAGGGAGAGAACAGGTGGTAGTGTGGCAGTGCCCTTGGTCTTAGGAGTGGAGGAGGCAGACAGGAGATGGGGTGAGGGCCTGAGAGAGTGCATAAAGGATGCTGGAAGATGCGTGAAGGAGGAATGGAAAGATTTAAGGACAAAGGGGAAGGAGCATAGCTGATAGAATGGCGGGATGGGTCACCTCTAGGGAGAAGCTTTCTGTAGCCACGTAGAATTTAACCTACTTTTGAAATTAAGAATGTGTTAATATGATTGCTTATAACTGTTAAAGCTATTGCTTGCAATGATTTTCTTAGAAAATACAGGAATGTGTCCAGTAGAAAATCCAGTTGTTTTTTAGAAATTAATACTCCATTTCTTTAAGACTAGTAAAGAAACAGTGAAGATTTGCCCTTCCATCGTTTCCTATCCTCTCACAGTTTTCCTTTGCCCTTCCGTTGTTTCTTTTTTCCCCTTCCACTCCAGTGATATCCAAGAGATAACCAATGAACATCACTCTTCTTCCTCTGCAGGTGCTGGCAAGTCTCTAGTTGGGGTGACAGCTGCCTGTACTGTCCGCAAGCGGTGCCTGGTCCTTGGCAATTCTGCAGTGTCTGTAGAGCAGTGGAAAGCCCAGTTCAAGATGTGGTCCACCATTGATGACAGTCAGATATGTCGGTTCACTTCTGACGCCAAAGACAAGCCCATTGGCTGTTCTGTTGCTATCAGCACGTACTCCATGTTGGGACACACGACAAAAAGATCCTGGGAAGCAGAAAGAGTAATGGAATGGCTTAAAAGTCAAGAGTGGGGCCTTATGATACTTGATGAAGTACATACTATCCCTGGTAAGGAGACAGTGTGCAAATGTTTCGTGTTATATACAGTGTCAATGTTACTCTGCTCTTTAAGAAGTGCTAAGGTTTTATTGTCTTTCTTATTATTAATGTAGTGAGTAAGCCCGTGGCATAGAGTTTTGAAATAAACTAGGTTGTTCTATTTTATTTTTTCCTTTTTTTTTCCCCCTCTGATTCTACAGAGATGAGCTAACCATTGGTTTTCCAAAACCCTTCACATTAAACACTGTTTTCTGTAATGACTGTAAAATGCAAGTGCCCTCCCTCTCCTTCTGTGTAGGTTGGTAAAGTGCTCTAAGACACCTGAATTACATTTGTATAATTTTGCTGTAGACAGATTTGAACAGGAGAGGAAATAATCTGCCATCATTTCTTTTTAGAGGTAGTGGCAATGTAGGCTAGCTTTTAGTACCTATTTCTACTGCATAAAATCTGGGTAACCATAGTGATTACTGTCCAGAAATAGCTGTTGTATTTGAAATTACTGTGTAGTTGAGATCTATGCTATTAGGAAGCAATAATGTCATATTAAAATGAAATAATCCTGGCAAAAAATACAACCCAGGATTCTGTTAACTGTTCTAGCTTGGTTTTATTATTTCATTTGAATATAATTTGGTGTCTACAGAAATGATAGATTTCAGAAGTAGACCTTGAGGGTTAACTGCTATTTCAATTAAGTAGCATGTTGCTGCCACTCTTCCTGCACTTTTGTTCTTTCTTAGTTTCCTAAAAATTAAGGTATGGAATCTCCTCTGTGATTTCTATCAATACTAAATATGAGTATTTCTGCTATATACCAAAGTCCTGAATGTGGCTGTCAGACAAGAGTCCTTGTGTCATAGCTCTCTATGAAATACTGTATAACCTAAAACAAGTCATGTAACCTCTGAATATTTTACTGTTCTCTTGGGAAATGGGAAATTATGAAGATGCCAGAAGATTTACTGGGATTTTCAGAGTACACTGAAGATGTAAACTAAAGCTGCAATCCATGTGAAGTTTTGCTCTAACACAGTTTTGTTTGAATTCTGTGTGGAATGAGGGAAAATTTCCCAATGCTGTGCTTGCTTTGTGTTCAGGAGTTGATGAAAGTGTTTTTTAAGATGCAGTATTTGTCTTCTAAATCCATTCAGGAAAGTAAACAGAAAATTTGTCTTGCATTTCTTAGCAAAAATGTTCAGACGTGTGCTCACTATTGTACAAGCTCATTGTAAACTGGGGCTGACTGCTACCCTGGTCAGAGAAGATGATAAAATTGTTGACCTGAACTTCCTGATTGGACCAAAGCTCTATGAAGCCAACTGGATGGAGCTGCAGAACAGTGGCTACATTGCTAAAGTCCAGTGTGCTGAGGTGATGCTCTGCTTTTTGGTACTACTAGTGTTTATTTAGTATGCTTATAATTTATTTTTTTAAGGAAGATGTATTAAATTGTAAGTATTTAACTGGGGTAAAACAGATGCCCTTATGACTTCTCAGCTGTTGCTGGCCAATATGAACATGGGGCAAATCCAGTAGCCATGTGTTCTTCAGAGTGACATCAGCATTTGGAAAAGTGAACAGTGCAGAATTGTAGAGCTAGTTCAGTGCAGTTGACATTCCTGTTCTCTGACATGACTTCAAGTCTTAAGCTCAGTTCTGTGTCCTAGTGTATTATCATGTTATGATGAGGGTAACATCAAGCAATAGGATGGAAGCTGCTTTTTAGAGACCTTGACTGTTAGACACTCCATAGTCATTTGAGGAAAATTTATGTGACTCTTAAAATGAAGGACAGTAGAAAGTAAAAAAAAACAAAACAAACAAAACAAGACCAGACCTGCTTATTTCCAGCCTAAATGCATGATGGTGAAAATTTAAAAAATTTGGACTGGATCTTAATATTTCTTTCCAATATAATGGTGTGACCTCTGTTATTTCCAGCATATGGATGAGAGAAAAATCTGGTATTTGAGAAGTGGAAACCTGTCACACAGACACATTAGAACATTCAAGTAACCTTTCTGGGTCAGACTAAAAGTCTACCTTCATATATTGTCTCTGAGAATGGTCAACTTGACATAGTTAGGGAGGAGTATACAAACAGGGTATGACATATCTGTTACTTCTGATACGTCTCCAAGACCTCAGTCATTTATGAGCTCTATGTCGTTTCAGTGGGGTTTCTTCTCTTGGAACTTTTCTGGAGTCCCATTGAATGGAAGTAAACTTGTAGTAGTTACAACTTGCTATGGTGGAGTTTCATAACTTAACTGTCTCTTGCATTTTTCCTGGATTGTTGTTTTCTCTTTTTTGTTAGGGTTTTTTTATTGTTTACTGGTGTTTTGTTGTTGGTTGTTCTTGGGTGTTTTGCTTAAACCTGTCTTGCTAGTTTCAAGCAATTCTTCCTACATTTGGTACTGGAATAAAAGGTGCAGCTACAGTTCAGCTGTTCTCCTTTTGAACTTCATGTAAACTGGAGGTTGTAGAAGGAAAACACCTCACAACTATTTTTAAGTAATAGAAAGCAAGTGAAGAGCATCTAGAAATAAGTAAGTTTAAGGGATAGTAACCAGTCTGCAGATTCAAACTTGACTGTTTAGACACTTAGGTTAATTCTGCCGTGAGATTATATTTCATTTCAGTCCCTGAACTGCCCTTCAGATGCTGAGAAATGAAGCATGGGCTGCCTTTGTTCTGAATGATGTGAAAATTCTGCAAGTTTATTTTCTTTAGGCCAGTGTTTTGAAGTAGCATTGGATGATGCTACCAAAAGCAAAGAATCAAAACCAGCAACATTGATAGCTGGTAAATAACAAGTCTCATGTTTGCACAATTGCGTTGCACATTTGTTTGGATTTTCTTGACATGTTGTTGAGAAGTAGCATCTCTAGTCAACATGACTTATTCCCCACAGCCAAGAGAGGTGTCTGCACTGCTCTTGCATTTTGGAAGGCTGGAATATTATCAAGGTTAAACAGAGTCTGGCAGTTCTTGAGACTACCCCAACCAGTAGCTTTTGTTTTTTTATAGAAATTACTGTGTTACAATCTGTGGGTTGCCCTCTACAGAAAGTTAAAATGCATCATCACTCCCCCAGTAGCTTTTCAATTCCCATTGGAATCAAATAAAAAATAACAGGTGTCTTCTTGTGTATCTTTTCTGATTCTAGGTTTGGTGCCCAATGTCACCTGAATTTTATAGAGAATACGTAGCTATCAAAACAAAGAAGAGGATTCTGCTGTACACCATGAACCCAAACAAGTTCAGAGCCTGCCAGTTCCTGATTAAGTTTCACGAGCGACGGAATGATAAAATAATTGTGTTTGCTGACAATGTGTTTGCACTGAAGGAGTATGCAATCAGGCTGGGGAAGTAAGTGTTCCCAACCAATGATGGCACTGTTGCTTTCCTCCTTCCTGGAAAATTGCCTTGTAATTTCTCAGCTTTCCATGGTCTTTAGTTATTTCTTGTAGTACTTTGATTTATCTCCAGTCCTCCTTTATAAAAAAGGAGCTCAGGGGGGTATTTTTAGATGGATATTCTTGTCTACATTTGGTGTAGACCTGTCTGAAAATAATCTCTGTTTAGCACTTGCTTCAAAGGAGTTTTCATCCAAGATCTCTGTAAAAGACTGTTACTATTTCTCAGTCCATTTTATTACTAAAAGCTAGTGGAAAAATGAGAGGCTTTAAAAAATATTACTAGAGCTATTTCTTTAATGGATAATGGTTTCCCTTATCTGTTGGAGACCAAATATATACTCTCTGGACCTTTGAAGATCTTTTGGGACCCAGGACATTCCTCTTTAGTTTCTTGAAAGGCCTGAACCTTGTCTAAAAAGAGCCTAAAACAGTATTTTGAGGAGTCTGTGCTGTGCCAGTGCACTGCCTAGAACTACTGTAGTCATGTAATAAATAAAAGGATATTGGTCCCATGAACTCCTCACCTACCTTAAATGACTCTAGCATGAGTGCAGTTATGGAAGGTTGTAGAAATATATTGTAATGAGGCCTTGGTTAGCATCAGTGTGTTTGTAGGTTTTGTGGAGGGGTGATCAGGGAGAGTGCTAGGATCAGGCATAGACCAATTATTGGGGAAAATAAGCATAGAAGCTGGCCTCATCCTTTCTTTGGCAAGCCCAAATAATGCCTTGCTTGCTGGAAGCTGTGGGGCGTTTTGACTGCATTTGATTTCATGTCTAGGAATTTCAGCAGCACGTCCTAGCTAAACCACAGACCAAAATTCATGATCAGTTTTGACTGTAGCTTGACAGCCTCGTTGTGCTGCCTTGCTGTGAGATCAAATAGTAAGCAGAGCCAATGGTGCTGGATGAATTCCAACACCTCTGGTCTCTTTCATCATTTTTTTAATCTGTCTGGACAGAGATTAGATGTAATGATGCCTCTGGAATGTCTCTAGCAGAGTTCAGTGCACCACAGAAAAAGCTTTTAGCAGAGGCAATGCTGGGAGGGGGTGCTTGTTAAGTAGCACAGCAGTTCTTGCCTGGGGTAGAAGAAGCGTGGCAGGAAGACTAGCTGAAGAAATACTAGATGCTTACTTTTCATGTTCTGAAGTTAATTCTTTTCCTCACATCACATATGGAGCTCCTGGTTATACGGCTGTCAGTGTTAGGAAGAAAGGAGGCTTGCAGTGCTGGATAAAGGTGAGGGGATCTTTATTTTAACCAGAGAATTGTCTATCGTAGTTTGCTGAGAGCATGATGAAACAAAGGGAACTGTTGGTTTGGATGAGGTAGAAATTACTTGTGTAAGGAATAGAGCACAGCACTGGCAGCAGTAGCCAGGACTGTCAGCCCAGCCTGCACTGGCCCAGCAGGAAGGCAGCTCCTGCTGTACTTCTCAAGACCCAAGCACGTGGGGTGGTTGAAGTCCTGGATGGAGGGAGAGATGATCATTGCCTCACTGACTGTCAGCTCCTGCCAAACCCCCT